GTAATCGGAGAATTTGAATTTGAATTAGCGGAAGAAATTGAAGTAGCATCAGAAATAGTAACACCATCAGATACTGGTTCATCTTTTGTTGAATCAGAAGAATTATTTCGTGAACCAGGGGTAAAAGGATAGATTGCAAAGCCATATCCAAATTTTGGCAAAGGAACCCAACTCGTACTTTCAGTGTTTTCAGTCATTTTTATGATATGTTTTTAAAAAAGAAGGAAAGAGGTATATTAAAAGATTTTTAGACCTACAATAGATCGGTTCATTAACGATCCTGATTGGTTATATCATGAGAAACACACGAAGCTTATTTGTAAGATCCACGTATTCAAATTAAAGAGTGATCGAATGAATAAAAAAAAGAAATTTGATTAGATAATTTATAGAGAAATATAACAAAACTAAAGCATTTAGTCAAAAGAATGACTTGAACCACCTTGATTTCAAGTGGTAAAAAAGACAATTAATTTGAAAACTTGTGAAAATGGCAATGATTAAGGATAAACTAACAAGAGTTTTTTTTTTTTACGAATCCGAAATCGAATAGATTAGTGAAGAACTTTTGACAGTCAAACAAACTATACATGCAGACTTTAATCGAAAATTGAATGAAAACAGCGTGGCTAAACCATGTACCTATGTTTAACTAGATAAAATACAAATGTGTGTTCTCGATATTCCGGACGAAAACAAGAGCCGATGAAAATAAAAGAAATGAAGAAGAGTCGTACCACCTTACCTTAAATTAATTTACCATTACACAATGCAATACTATGCAATGCAAATTTCCTCACAAATTTGTTGATCATGGCACAAATTATTATACATAATATATAATTTCAGAATTTTGTATATAAGTGCTTAATGATTGAAAAACATGAACATTCTTCTATACGCAAAATATTAAATAATTTCCAAACGTATCTATCAATATAGAAATATATTAAGTTGTTGGTACACGAAATTTATACGTAGAAACCAATCGAACCCATGGTTGCACGATTGTCACTTTGAACTTTTGTTTTTATCCATTTTAACAAATCTATATCGACATGCATACGGATCGAAATCTATACCGATACTTGTATAACATAGAATCGTTACTGTTGAGTCCAAGAAGTGGCATGGTCATTCGACTACAATGATAAAGAAAACTTTGAGTGTAGAGTTGCATAGTATTTATACATACTACGGGGTACACTGTGGCATTTGTCTAAACATGTTATCGGTTGTTTTTCGTTTGTAAGATAATAACTAAACCTTGGACTTCACCGGTAAATTTTTATGGTTTTAGTGATTTACATTAACCTGAATGTCAATCGTATTTGTTTGGAAACAAGCAAAAAAAAAAGAAACTCTTATTAAAAATATACATACTGTATACAGTGTTGTGCGCTTTTATAAGTCCAGTATCTGAATTGGAATTTTTCAATACTCCATCCAGTTTATAAGTCCAGTAGAACAAAGTTGGTCCAACTGCTCAACATTAATTGTATACAAGTTAATCAGACTTCTGAGGTTAAATTTATCACCTTACTAAAAGTTCTTAGAAGTTAATCCGTTAAGGTTATGGATTCAACCTCATACATTGAGATGGATCAGTGGAAAGACCGAATAAAGTCGATACTTTAATCCACTCTTTAAGACTGGTCTGCATAAAAATAATTAAAAATCATTTATTTAACGCTAATAAAAAAACGTTACATAATCGCTTGTTTCAACTACTGATGTCATATGATTTAGGTATTTCTGCCGGCCAATAAAATAAATAGGTTTTTAAATTACTAAGGACGTTTTTGGAACTTGGACCAGACCAAAAAAACCGATCTTGTTAGGGACTGGGACGTACTGATCCATTCTTATTTAAGATTACAGTTGAAGTTAAACTATACATACGTATGCATATTAAGTTTTTTTATTATGATCCACCGATTAGTGTACATTAATCTACTATCTCGTGATAATCGACAAGTGCGTATATAGTTATTTTCTGAACACTCGTATTAATATAATAATAATAATAATATAATATATACTGTAATAATAATCATAATAATATAATAATAAATCAAATATATAAATAAAAAATATTTTTTCCGATACCCTTACCATCAGAACTTTTTTTTTGATGGTAAATGGTAATTACGTAGATGCCGTGACCCAGTGTACATGACATGTGACCTTGTTCTATGATCCCGAAATTTATTTGGTTCGAAGTTGTATACTGTATAAATTCTCAACACAAAAAATAAACACTAAAATTAGCGAGGTTGTATAAGAATATAAAGAACTATGAAAATTCTAGTTACTTTATACGATTTTTAAATTTGTATAAAGAATACAAAGAATAAAAAAAGAAAATTTCACATGTATGTTAGACGTCACTTTGTCAATTTTAAATAACGTACTGTATGTATCGGTATAATTTTATGGATTACATTTTTACTAAAACGCACCTATAGCGTTTTACCACCTATTATATGTTTATAAGTTTATAAGTTTTGTATATAAAATTTTTAACACAAAATTTTAATATTTCGGATTAGAATTAAAAGGTTTGGGAAGGGTTTTTTTGGTTTTCCTCACATAAAGTAATAAATTATTTAAAACCAAAAAAATTATTTAAAAAAAAATTATTTTAAAAAAAAAATTATTTAAAAAAAAATGAATTAATTTAGATATAGCCATAGGCTACATGTAGCCGGGGTTAAAAATTATAACAAACTTAGAACCATTTAATAAATAAGATTGTATTAAGTTTAAATTAGGGTTAGGGTTAGGGTTAGGCTAGGGTAAAATTGCGTAACGAACATTTTTGCCTATGTTACATGACAAGGGTTAGCATAGTAAAATTTTGAGATATTAATATACGGCTATATGTAGCCATGGCTATATATATATATATACTCCCAAAAAAAATTATATAAAAAAAATTATTTAAAAAAAAAATTATTTAAAAAAAAAATTATTTAAAAAAAAATTATTTAAAAAAAATTATAAAAATTATTTAAAAAGAATTATTTAAAAAAAATTATTAAAAAAAAAAATTATTTAAAAAAAATTATTTAAAAAAAAATTATTTAAAAAAAAATTATTTAAAAAAAATTATTTAAAAAAAAATTATTTAAAAAAAAATTATTTTAAAAAAAAAATTATTTAAAATAAATTATTTAAAAAAAATTATTTAAAAAATTATTTAAAAAAAAAGGCATTTATTAATTAATTTACACCAGTATTGTCTATAGATATACATAGACAGAAGTATAAATATGGTATATAAAAAAATACTAATACAGTATCTAATAAAAATTTTCTCATATCTATATTTTCTTATAAAGAGATGTTATAACCTTGAAATTTTCTAAAAAATTAGTATATATATATATTAAATTGTGTATTTGTTTTAAAGATTTTTTAACTAGAAAAAAATTTAGATAAGAGCTAAAGTTGGAATATATTTCATTTAAAAAAAATAAAAAAATTAATTAAATTCAAAGAAATATTAATTTATTGTCAAGGCTCAAAGTTAAAAATTCTAAAAATTTATATATTAAAATTCAATGTTTTTTGTAGTAGTAACAAACAATTTGACTCAGTTTGATGAGATAGTTATTGAGAAATTAATTTTTAAAGTTTTGATTTTTATTTTTATTATGTTTGATTTGTTGATACCTAATTCTTTTTGTGTTGCAAAATGTTTTTACAAATATCTTATGATTAGCAGACCAAATTTGATAATTTTGATATTATTTGAATTGTCTTATTAAAATGATTTAAATAATACCAAAATCATTAAATTTGACTACTAAATATTGAGATAGTTTTAATTAAAAAATTTTTATTTTGTAATTTTTAAAAATGAAATTCAGACTTTAAAAATTAATTTTTCAATAATTTTCTTATCAAATTAAGACAAATTTTTTATCACTATTACAAAATTTGTTAAATTTTAATATACTAATTTTTAGAATTTTTAGTTTTAAACTTTTACTATATATTAATTTTTCTTTGAATTCAATTAGATTTTTTATTTTTTAAAAAAAAATCTTTCTTATCTAAATTTTTTTGTAGTAATTAAAAAATCTTCAAAAAGTATACATGATCTAATCTTTGTATATACTAATTTTGCTAAATATTTTAAGATTGTAGTATCTCTTTATGAGAAAATATAGATACAGAGAAAGTTTTGTAAACACTGTAGTTCAAAATTTTATTATAACAACTTGATTTCAGAAATTAAATAAAAATGTTTATTAAGAGACATGGCCTCATCTTTGAAGATTAAAAAAAATAAAAATAAAATATTTATTATTAAATTTATATATATAGACATATTTGAGGTATAGCATATAGCATAGCTAGATTTTTATATAGAAAAATTTGCAGGTGAGTTTTAATATTAATATTATAAATAATTCTTAAAAAATTTAAATTATTTATTTTTTTAAAAACTTGTAAGATAAAAATAAGTGAATACTATTATAGTCAATTATATAAAAAATTGAGATCTATGATTATAATATTAAAATTATAGATAAAAAAAGAAACAGGCCTCAGATGCTAGTTTTTTTCTACCAAATACGATCATAAGCTAATTATTTTTAATTGGTAATTCGCCACTCAACCAGAGAGAGCTCATAGTATAACATGATACAGTTTATATGGGCTAGGTGCTGGAGAAAGGGCCGAAAATGACAAAAAAAAGATCTTCGGAAAATCAATTTTTATATTATAAATCTTATAACAAATCATAAGAAAATGCAAACTTTAAAGATCTATACTGCAAAATTTTATTAATACAACTACTTTTGTATTTTAAGTGAAAAATGATTCTAATTTAATTTTAAATTGATTTATATAAAAAAAAACTCATTTGAAAAAATTGTTATTTTCGGCCCTTTTTCCAGCTCCTAGCCCATATATAAAAATTAGAGTTTTTGGAATGTGAGCTGCTTCTATCTAAATTTTTTTTCATACTAAGTTAATCACCTTTGGGCCTTTAATTAAATTGTAGAGCTCATCGAGATGAATCTAATAGTGGTTGAATCATCAAAATTGGCTTGGTAGATCATGAGATATCTTTGAAAAATAGTTTGTTGACTATGTAAAATTCTCTCTTTTGACAA